TTTTATATTTTTATATATATATATATATATATATATATATTATTAGATTTTTATATTTATTTTATCATATTTTACATATATTATTACCTTATTCTTCATCTTCTTTGTCTTCCTTTACTTCATTTTCATTTTTAATCTTAAATGTTTTTCTTTCGATATGTAATTTCATTTTAAATCAAACATTTTTTAAAATTCTTCCTTTGATATGTAATTTCATACCAAAAAAGTGACAATTTACATTTTTGGTCCCCTAAAATTTACAAATGAGACTCGACCTTGTGTTATTTTGTTGTTCCTATTATGATCACCTTACGCTTAATTTCTATTATTATTAAATATTTATATATTTGAAATAATATGATTAAATATTATAAAATACATATTAAAATATACAACATATTATAAAAAAAATATAATTTATTAATAATTATATATTAGCCTCCCCCTATGCAAAACACCCACCCTTCTACCACCTATGGCAGCCATACCACCCATACCCATCACTTTTCACCCACTTACAAATATTGTCGCATCATTATTCACCCTCCTACAAATATTGTCATATCTCTTCATCCCATCAAATCATTTCACTTTTCTATGCAAACAGTGCAATTCCATCACTACCATAACTCAATATCTTGAGCTTCACCCTCCTACAAATATCGTCAGTCTATACATAAACAATATTATCTCTTCATCCCATCAAATCCTTTTTACTTTTTTATACATATATTTTCAACAAATCCTTTTCACTTGTCTCCTACAAAGTTTCACCCTTTCAATTTTACTTTTACTCCATCACCTATCTGCTTACGATAACCTTGAGGTCTCTCTCTCTCTCTCTCTCTCTCTCTCTCTCTCTCTTTATCTCTCTCTCTCTCTCATGCACACATCAAAATACTGGAAATTGCTTTTATCAATTCAATCATAACTCTTGGTGGTCTTGGGTATTAAAAACCCATATTAAAGGGTATATATGCAATGCATGAAGGATGTCTCTTGGTGTTTATTTACATATTTTAATAGGTTTGTTTGCATTTCTTATTTTAATGTCTTTGAGGT